ATTAAGGTCTAGATTATCACCCTAATATATTTTGGGAGGGTCTGGTTGATCCATAACAACATTTAAAGAGATGGTCACGCGCAGCTCAAGGGACTAGAGGGAAGAAGGGAATGGGTGACCCAGACAGTCCATAAGGAACAAACACGTAGTATAGGAGTTCCCTAAGGTCCCACTCACTAAGTGGTATTCCAATTTGGAAGCTGATGAGGGTGGTGGTATCTCAGGGGAGTGCAGTCAAAGCTAAGCTTCTGGCAACACAGGTGGTTTGACTGTAGTAAAGGGGGTGGGGTAGTAGTGAAGAAGAAAGGAACAGTGGCAGTGATAGGGAATTCTTTAATCAGGAGAACAGACAGGGGTTTCTGCGGTTGAAGATGTGACTCCAGGGTACTGTGTTACCTGCCTGGTGCCAGGTTCGGGGATGTCACTGAACAGCTACACGGCATCCTGAAAGGGGAAGGTGATGAGTTAGAGGTCATGGTATGTGTTGGTACCAATGATATGGGCAAAGTGAGGAATTAGGTCTGTATCAAGAATTCAGGGAGGTAGGCAGTAGATTAAAAAGCAGGACCTCTGTGGTCATAATCTCTGGTTTACTCCTGGTGGCATATGCTAGCAAGTATAGAAAGAGGAAAATAGGACAGATGAATACATGGCTCAAAGTTGGTGTGGGGGCGTTGTTTAACATTCTTGGATCACTGGGACAGTTTTTGGGAAAGGTGGGACATGTACAATTGGGATAGTCTGCAGGTCGGTTTACTTGTGTTGTTGGGAAGAGGATACAGAATATTGAAGAAATGGAGGCACATCATGCTACAGCAAAGGAAGCAACTCATAGTGAGTTCAGCTAAATTGAGTGTGAAGACAGTAAGGCAAGGCTGGATGGTGTTTGCTTTAATGTTAGGAGTGTAATAGGTAAAACTGATGAGTTAAAGGCGTGGATTGACACATGGATGTGTGATATTGTTGCCATCACAGAAACATGGTTGAGAGAAGGGGAGCTCTGGCAACTCAATGTTCCAGGATATAGGATCTTAAGGTGAGACAGAGGAGGGTGTATAAAGGTGATGGGGTAGCACTATTTTAAGAAGTCAATTACTGAAAAAAAGGAGAGATATATACCTTGAAAGAGTCTTCAAACAAAGCTTTGTGGGTAGAACTTCGGAATATTAAAGAGGCAATCACATTACTGAAGAGTCAGTGGGAAATAGAGGAGCAAATATGCAGACAGTTCATTGAGGTGTGCAAGAGTAATAATTGGGTAATTATATTGAGCAACTTAGACAATCCAAATTTATGTTGGGAAAGTTGTAGTGTTAAGGGTTTAGAGCGGGCAGATTTCTTAAAATGTACCCAGGGAGTTTTATGTATCAATGTGTAGAAGACCCAACAAGGGATGATGCAGTACTGAATGTGGTTCTGGGGCATAAAGCCAGCCAACTGTTCAATGTGGCAATAGGGGAACATTTTAGTGATCGCGACCACAACACAATACGGTTCAAATTTGTTATGGACACGGAGAAAGAGGGTGTGCAAAAGACTGCATTGGATGGGGTGGGGCAGTTGGTGGGAGAAGGCAGATTTTATTGAAATAAAGCAGAATCTGGCCAAAGTTGGCTGGACACAGCAGAGCAGTGGGGTTCATTCAAAAAAGAGCTGGGAACAGTTTAGGTCTTTGAGGGGAAATATATGAGCAATAAGTTCAGGGAAAGCTGGATGTCTAGGACAATTCAGGACTGGAAGAGGAACGAGAGAAAGGCTTTTAGCAAGTCCAAAGGGAGCAATTCAGCTGCAGCCCTAGAGGAATATAGGAAGTGCAAGAGGCAATTTAAGAAAGCAATTAGAAGAGCAAAAAGGGGCATGAGAAAGGACATGTGAACAGAATTAGGAAGAATCCCAAGATATTTTATAAATATATTAAAAAGTAGAGGTCAATCAGGGAAACAGTAGGTCCCATTAAGGATCATGGCGGCAATCTGTGTGTGAAGCTGCAGAATATTGGAAGTGTGCTAAATGAATCTTTATCTCAGTCTTCACTCTGGAAAAGCAGAGGTACAGAATTCAGGAAAAGGGACCGTGAAGAACTTGCACAGTTTGACACAGGATATGAGGAAGTGTTGAGGATTCTGACAGTTTAAAAATGAACAAACATCTCAGGCTGCTATGGCAGGTAAGGCGGGAAATTGCAGGGGCTCTGACACAACCTTTTTATTCCTCTCTGGTTATGTGGGATATTCCAGAGGACTGAAAAACAGCTAAAGTGGTTCCACTTTTCAAGATGGATGGCAGAGATGAACCAGGAAAGTACAGATCAGTAAGTCTCACATCAGTGGTAGGAAAATTATTGGAGAAAATTCTGAAGGAGAGAATCAATATCCAATTGGAAAAGCATGGGTTAATTAGGGATAGTCAGCATGGTTTTGTCAGAGGGAGGTTATGCTTAACAAACTTGTTAGAATTTTTCAAAAATGTGATCAGGTATGTGGATGAGGGAAGTTCTATGGAGGTAGTTTATATGGAGACTGATTGAGAAGGTTAAAGCACATGGAATTCAGGGAAACTTGACAAGATGGATCAGAAATTGCCTTAATAATAGGACACAAAAGGTAGTTGTAGAAGGCTGTTTGATTGACTGGAGGCCAGTATCCAGCAATGTACCGCAAAGATCAGTACTGGGACCCTTATTGTGTGTTACATACATAAATGATACAGATGCGAATGTGGGAGGAATGTTAAGCAAATGAAAATAAGATTGGTAGGGTGTTTAGTGAAGTAGATGGTTCTAAGTATATGAAGATATAAATGTGTTGGTTGGAATGGCAGAACAGTGGCAGATGGTATTTAACCCCGATATGTGTGAGGCGATGCACTTTGGAAGAAACAAGATGGAGTATTTAATGAATGGCAGGATACTGAGTAGCTCAGAGGAACAGAGGGATCTTGGGGTAATTATGTATTGATCCCTGAAGTTAGCAGAGCACATGAATAGGATAGTTAAGAACACATATGGGACACTTGCTTTCATCAGTCAGGGCATAGAGTAAAACTGCAAGGAGATCATGTTGAAGTTGTACAGAGTGTTGATTGGGCCACATTGCATCCAGTTCTGGTCACTTCAGGACAGGAAGGGTACGATAGCACTCGAGGGGTACAGAGGAGGTTCACCAGGATGTTGCCTGGATGGAATAATTTGAACTATAAGGAGAGACTAGATAAGCTTGGATTGTTTTCTTTAGAGCAGAGAAGGTTGAGGGGGACATGATTGAGGTGCATAAGATTTTGACAGAGTGGGAAGGGAGCAGCTGTTTCCCTTGGTTGAATGGTCAATCACAAAGGGGGCATGATTTTAGGGCAAAAGGAAAGAGATTCAGAGGGAATTTCAGCAAAAATTTTCATTCAGAGGTGATGGGAATCTGGAACGTATTGACTGAGAAGGTAGTGGAGGCCAGACATCTTAGAACCTTCAAACATATTTAATAAAATCATACAATCCCTACAGTGTGGAATCTGGCTATTCAGCCCATTGAGTTTACACCGACCCTCCGAAAAGGATTCCCACCCCAATTACCCTGCATTTCCCTTGACTAATGCACCTAACCCACACATTTCCCAAGCACTGTGGACAATTTATCATGGCCAATCCATCTAACTGGCACATCTTTGGACCGTGGGAGGAAACTGGAGCACCCGGAGGAAACCCACGCACACATGGGGAGAATGTGCAAGCTCCACACATACAGTTGCCCAAGGCTGGAGCTGACCCCAGTCCCTGGCACTATGAAGCAGCAGAGCTAACCACTAAGCCGCTGCAGGTGGATGAGCACTTGAAATATCATAACATTCAAGGAAATGGGATGAGCCATTATATGAATGGCAGCACTGGCATGGTAAGGGAGTATGAGGGCCCCCAAACTTGTATGCTTAGGCTAGCCGCGTCCTTCACCCTCACTTTCTCTCTCGAGGACTGCTGGTTCCAGTAGATCCAGAACCTGGTCTCGGAAACATGGTGGGCCGTTGGCTGAGGCGGGGCTTGGTGCCCGCGGTGGGGTTGCGATAGGCCCACAGTGGGGACTTGCTGGGTTGTGAAGATGCGGTCCTGGTGCGGTCTGGAGGCAAGGCACGGTGAGGACGGGAGGCGAGACTCGGCACTGAAGGGCTGTAATGCTGCACTTTTTATTTCTTTGTTTTTCTAATTTATTCCTAAGATCCTGTACCTAGGTACATTTGTACCTAAGGTGGTGCTGCAAGTGGTGACTTTCTTAAGTTCTCACAGCACCATGTGACAATAAACCCAATTGTAAAGTGCAGGAAATTGGGATTAGCATGACTTTAATGGTCGTTATTGTCAGTGCACACTCGATGGGCTAAAGGGCCTTTTGTGTGCTGTACGAGAATGTTTTGTTTTTGTATGTATGTATGTATAATACATGTATTGTTTTTGCAAGTAGCTTGATTATCTTGTCCTACCATTGTCAAAGGCTTCTATACGTACGTGTCTCTGCCATTCTGCAGCCACATTAAAATGTTACCATTTAGAGTACATGGTCTCTTCCATCCATATACCTCATGGAATTTAGTGAGATAAATACCTATAACCACATTAAATATTTACGTGCCACAATGAGCGAGTCACCTTTAAATGATCCTAGTGACATTTTAAGCAAAAGAGAAAAAGAACATGCATTTATATGGCACCCTGCATGACCATCAGATATCTGTGCATATTGACAAAAGATCTTTTACACCTACTCAGGCAAGCAGATGGTGCCTCAGTTTAAAACCTCATCTGAAAGATGACATCACATACAATGCAGTCACCCTCAGGACTAGACTGAAAGCCTCAGCTTAAACTTCTGGGTTCAATCTCAGAAGTGGGACTCAAATTCAGAACCTGGAAATTCAGAGTTGAGCCTGCTACTGCAGACTTAAATGCACAGTCGACTAAAATTTATTACTTTGGCAGGCAACTGAAATAGAGTAACAAATGAGATTGCTGTACTCACACAGCTCTGGGTTCCGAGAAAACATCAGCGTGTATGTGCATCATGAGATCTCCACCAGCCGTGTACTCCATCACAAAGCATACATGCTCTGGGGTTTGGAAACACGCAAAAAGATTGACTAGGAATGGATGATTGGAGATGTTCACAGTCTCGAAGATCCGTTTCTCACACATAAGGCTGCAGGGACAACAGAACAATTCAGAGCACTGGTTGACTTGGAGCAGCATAACACATTTAAAAGCAGAGTCACATCAGCAGGCGCATGGTGATGAACACAGCCCTCCCATTGGACCGATCATAGCGTTAAATGCAGGCCTCCCACTGGACCAATCATAGTTAAACACAGCCATCTGACTAGACCGAACACAGTGTTAAACACAGCACTCTCACCAGACCAATCGAAGTATTACTTTGGTCATCCTTATTGGCACGGCTTGAGAGTTGGATGACAGACAGGAAGTGAAGTGGGAATGAACAGGCGTTTTTTTTTGAGTCAGGCTGGGCCTTGGTGAGACCACACTTGGGAGCACACAAACTGCATGAAGTTTGGTCTCCTTATCTAAGGAAGAATATGCTTGCCACAGAGGGAGTGCTTACCAGGCTGACATTAGGGACAGCAAGACATTGTATGAGAAGGAGATAGTAAGAATTGCCGATGCTGGAGTCAGAGATAACACAGTGTGGAGCTGGAGGAACACAGCAGGCCAGGCAGCATCAGAGGAGCAGGAAATGGC